CTTTCACTTTAAAAAGCTACTAAATATCCAAAAACATCTACAAATGCCAATTTACTAACAAAGAAATTCGTCATTTTATATTTTGCATTGCATTTTGCTTTATTTTTCTATTTTGTCTAAGTTATTTTTTAACAAGTTTATCTAAATCATGTAAACTTTGTTTCTCGAAAACTTTTCGATCGTTCGTGATTCAGTTCCGTATCTTTCTCGCGCATGAAAACAGATGAAAAAAAATCGAATTAAAATCGAATCTCAAAATCTAGTATTTACAGCTTATGGTCAAGCTTATCGAAAAGTAGTTAAGGAATAAAAATATTTTAATGAAGAATTAGGATCAGAAAACTATTTTTTAACTGATGACACATTTGGTTTTAACGTTCAGGGACTTCATTTCACAAGTTTAGTTAGTTAATGATCTCCAGCCAATTTTCTCTCGCTGATGCTACCTAATCATTGATTTTCTTAATTTCATTGCGGTAAAAATACGGTTCTTACAAAAACCTAAACTCTTCATGGATAACCAAACATGGATAACCAAACGGGATCCTATATTACTTTTATAAAAGCGCATTTAACGCATTTGAGATCCGTCCACGAGCGAAGTTTAACTCGGATAAACGAGCAAATACATTTTGGCGGTCAAATAAATGATCGTTGAACCTAGATTATTTGAGAAAACCTTGACGTCTTGTTTACCAGCGAAATAATAATAATAAGACTTGCACGATTATGATATTTTATGGTTTCCATRGCAACGTAGCTGAAATAGCTGAAAACGAAAACAAACTTTTAAAATATTTTGAAATTGAAATGATTCATTTTCATTATGCTGTTGCATTAAGAATAAGAATTGTACAAGAACTAAATTCTGTCATAACTCATAAAAAAGGTTTCTGTCTACCTTAAATAATTTCATCGTTCATCTCCATCATATTGTTCATATCTGGGACTATGTACAAATCATCAACTTGTCTATTGGTACATTCTTGTAGTCTGCACATATCTGTGCGTTTGAAGTCTTTTTTTCACGACAGCTACAGCTTGGTATCTTACAAACCTTTGTACATTGGCAAGGCAGCAACTCTAGTACACCTTTGGGGGCCGGCTCAACACTCATTCAGTCGATTACAATGTCATCATCCTCTTCGCACCATCCTCGTCCTATTGGCGATTGAATGGTAGGACAGCTTTGGCTACTTCGCTTCCATATCRCAGCTTGATATTTTGCGCAAGAAGCGTGTATTCGTAGAGTGTCACCACAGGGTGGCAAAATGTTTGAATCGAGGTCACCCGAGTTCGTTAATACCAGTGGTTCCCGTTTTAGTGGTACAAATTATACATATAAACTCTTGAATGCTTAAATGAACAATTCGCCTTCCGCCAACCCAAAACATTTTCGGTTACTSGCGCACATCAGCGTGCGCGCATTTATATTGGTCGAAATCGTCAGCGTTTRCATAATAATACGTTTGATATCCTAAGATTGATCAAGATGGCCGAATCCTTAGAAAAGAGCATAAATCTACTCAACATTGACCTAAAACTAGAACAACAATTTGCTTTGAAATCCTTTTTGCTCGGAAAACACGTCCTGGTTGTTTTGCCGACTGCTTTTGGTAAAAGTAGGAGATACGAAGTCTACACAGCAGCCAAAGATGCTGAAAATTGGAAGCGTGGTTGTGTTGATCATCTATCCCTTGACGAGATCATAAAAAACCAAATAGCACATCTTTTTCAAGGAAATGTTACGAATAAGAATCGCCGTTAACTTGGAAAATTCTTGTTTCACAACCACATCACCACAAGGATAGGCGATCACAACACGAACTCCAGCTTTCTTCTCATTTAATTCGAATGTTTCAATGTTCAAATATCGTTGAACGTTGTCTTCCAAGGCAGCTTAAAGATATTTTCTAAATTTTATTTTGTTTTGAAATTTTTTCTGCATCTTGTACTATAGATGATAAGAAAACTTCACTTTCTTCTTAGGCTAACTAAAGTTTCTTCGGCCTTCTCACATGGCCCTTTGGCGCTGAAAATCCTATATGCCTTAGTTTATTTAATATATATATATAGAGAGAGAGAGATAGAGAGAGAGAGATTGTAGATAGATCAAATAGAAGACATCACTTTAGCTGTTACTCCAAGTTTCACGCTTACGCGATCGTCAGACAGACTTTAATGAAGAATAATCTTACTTAAGTGGCTTACATATACATGGGTGGCGATATCTATATTTAGTGTAATTGTATAAWTAAAATGATCATTTGTTCTGCGGCTTTCTGGATTTGTTTTAGGTKTTCATTAAGTAGTACTTGTTCTCAAGGCGGCATTTAGAAATATATTCCGAACTTTTGTTGAGGAGGCTAGTTTTGTYGGCTTTAATAAAGTTTTTCTGTTAGGCAGAGATTACACCTTTTGGAGACGTTGTTGTATGAATTTGCTGAGGCTATTATTGACCAGTTGATCATGTATTTTCTCTTGTCGTCTTTTCGTTTCCAGATGTATTTTGGGAATTCAGTGCTGTTTGCGTATTTTCTGTTCCTAAATGATAGTTTCTGTTGCGTGTGTCGTTGTTTGAATGTACCTTCTGTCAGTCCGATGTCGTAGTTTTTCACTGTGTTGTCTTCATCTGTCGTTACGCGTGATTCGTATACAAGGCTGGTTGAAAGGCAGTTGTTGTCGAGTGGGCATTGCAATTCAAAATATAAAATGATGAATTTCCTTGTCAGTAAATTGGCATTTCTAGATGTTTTTCAAGACAAACTGTTTTCTCAACTAAGGAAATGTATGAGATGCATTTTCTTTCTCAAGAGAAGCGATGATCCGCAATCATACTTCAAGCTGTTAGGCATCCTTTATATTGAAATTACATATAAGATAAGACAGGCATYATTTACCCATAAAATTTTGAGCAATCCTTCCAGAATATCTGATATCTTCAGTGAATCCATAATACCTGTGTCAGATATTCATTCTTACAATACAAGATTTTCAGCTAATAATAATTTCTATAAAACAACGAGTAAGAACAAATTATGGTAAATTTACATTTAATCTTAGTATTCCTAAAATCTGGGAAACAATACCCAA